TTATTAAAAATGTATTTATCTTTTTTTTAAAAAAGCAGGCATCTTACAGAGCACCTACTATGTGCAAGGTACTATGCCACAGCACAATCCACCCTCCCCCACTTAAGCCAGATACTTAACCCCAGAAAATTGAGCTGTGGGCAGGACCAGCCTCTCCCAGGTCCAGTGCTATTGCTCCACCTAGATATACCTTGGAATACAGAGTGACACCAGCCTGGCAGAAAGTGGGGGGGTCCTGCTAAACATCTTTCAAAGCATAAGACAGGCTCCCCAATCCCAACACACAAAATAAAGATTACTTGGCCCACTCTGTCAATAGTGCCAAAGTTGAAAATCATGCTTTAAATGGAAAAAGAAGCAAAGTAGCAATAGAAGACATGCGGAGAAGCTAAGGTGATAGAGTCAATGGATATAAGGAGGAGCACAGGGACGTGACATTGAACCCAGAGTACTGACAGGGTCATGTCATTAGCAGATGTGTAGCTGGTAAGGGTGTGTGCATCCAAGATGTCAGGACAATGAAGCCAGAAAAAAAAAATGCTGGGCTCCACCTCCACCCCAAGAATCAGCTTTTTAATAAATGCCCCAGGAGATGCAGATGTGAAGGGCAGTGGACCTTCCTTGGGAAAATGCTCAGTTAGGGAAGGAGGGGAAGTGGGATCTGTCAGTCTATAGTGTGAGAAAATCAGGTTCAAATCCAAACTCCACTACTTACTTAACAGTGACCCTGAGTGGGTCCTGCCTCTCTGAACTTCAGTTTCTTCATCTCAGAAAGGGCATGATGTCCCCTTACCTTGCTGTGTTTAGGTGAAGTTCAGACACACAAGGGTCTGGCAGAGTGGACATTCACCCAAAGGTGACTAATGTTATCAAAGAAACCAATTCCTTGTTTCACTAAGACTAATCCACAGACATCGAGAGATGTTAGGCCCCTTGCTCAGACAGGGGTGACAAAATCTCAGAGATCTTTCAAAGACAAGCATCAAATCCCACAGATAGCAATAAGACCAGGTCTCTCAAGGGGACTCTGTTTCTTCTAAGTGCTGTTTCCCAGGGGCCATGGGCTTTTGCAAGCAGACCCTATGTATATATTTGGTTTGGTGACGTATGAGTGAGAATCCTCCAGCCCCAGCCCCTAAGAGTGAGCTTGTGGGGCTTCCTTTGCTTCTAGCAGTGCAAGATGACAGGGTAATCAGATGGGCCATCCCATGGCCCCAGACCCAGCCCAGCCTCTCCATTGCTGGTCTCCTGATCCAAGGCTCTCCATAACCCTAGCTTTACCTCCTCGCCTCCCCCAACTGCTCAGATATCCATTGGATGGGAAAAAATATATATATGTAACAAAGCCTCATCCAATAGATTTTTTTCCTCCATTATTAATTATATCTTTAGAGAGAAAAAAGGGAAGTCACGGGTTGGGGATGTGGCCAAAGCGGTGGCACGCTCGCCTGGCATGCGTGCGGCCCGGGTTCGATCCTCAGCACCGCATACAAAGATGTTGTGTCCGCCAAAAACTAAAAAATAAATATTAAAAATTCTCTCTCTCTCTCTCTAAAAAAAAAAAAAGGGAAGTCACCTTGGAACACTCTAAAGGAAAACATTATCCTTAGTCAAGGACAGAAAAAAACTCACAGCTGAATCACACAAGAGTTTGGCTATTAATGGTTCATCTAAGGCAATTTTTATCCAAAGGGCCTCACTGGAGAGCTCCTTATAGCCAAGAATGAAGCTGTCTGACTCTTTATGACCGTTCTCCCTACCTGCTTTCCACATGGCTAGATTATCCAAAGAGTAAGCTACTCCAAGGCACCTGTCCCTAGTACTATTGACAGAGTGTCTGTGGGAGGGAAGGCACTCATGCTGGAGGGACCACAAGTCCACAGAAATAGAGATGGGCTGGGAAGCCCATCCTACTGATGGGGAGGCACTTAAACCCAGGCCTCCCATGCATTTCCACCTTCTGGTCCTATGCCCCTGACAGATGTTTGGCTGACTGCTATGATAGAGCACTCACTTCCGCTTCAGGGTTGCCAGGTCTATCTCTGAAGGGCTACTTAGAAAGTTCCTCTCCCTCCTGAGTCCAGCTCTTCACACCCATTCCTGTCCCATCTCCTGCAGCCCCTCCTCACTTATTCCACTTATTTGACAAGCAATTTTTGGCTGTACCATCAATGGGTGTCCATCCCTGTTACAGGCACTGGGCACACACTGGTGAGCAGAGCAACAGCATCATTGCTCCCAGTCCCCAAGCCTCTCCCCCAGGTCTTCATGCATGAGGTCCCACTGTAGCAATGGGCTCTCTGAACTTCCAATTCTAACTCCCCTGGGGGAAGCCAAGCAAAGGACTCTGGTCTAGATATTTTCGCATCTCTTATCAGTTCTATCCCTTTTGGGGAGGAAAGGGGACTGTGTGTTAATTCCATCTCCCAGACAAAATCTCTTGAGTAGCCTGAGCAGGCTTCTCTTTCAAACCTTCCTTAATACCTGCTGATATTTTTGGTTGAGCCATGTCTCTCGTCTGGCTGCAAACACCATCCCCTACTGGCAATTATTTAAATCAAAGCTGAGTTCTTCCTGGCTCAGCCCACATCCACTCAGACCCTTGCAGCCCTGAGGTAGAGGCAAGATTTGGCTAGGCTGGTGGCTAGAACCTAAATCCTCACCTCTGTGCCCCAGGAATCTCTCACATCTGGACCGTTCCTGGCCACATGCTGGGATGGGGTATGTTCTGACTACAGCAGCATCATGAGTCCCCAACCCCAGGATTGTTCCACATTTTTTTCTCTTCTTAGCATCCAGTACAGAATGCCAAGGAGGAGCAAGAGAAGCCTTTTCTTGTGGATAAGGGCAAAGGAGCAAAGGGATATGGGATTGGACATTCTAAAAGTCCACTTCTCCCCTGTCCCTTGAGCTTGATTAGTAGCTCTCTACTGAGGGCCGCACCCACAGGGAAATCCTTAGACTACATGTGACCCAAAGGCCTCTGGCCTACGCTCAGACTCTTTCTCATTCTCTCTCTCATTTTTAAGACAGAGAAATAAATACTTCGATGTACTTTTACAGCATAGAAAAGATAGAAACTTCACTCCATGTGTGTTGACCACATACTCTGGTTCTTAAGGGAGGAAAGAAAAAGAAGAGAAAGAAAAAAAGAGCACATTAAAAAGAGTCAAATAATACAAAAAGCCATTTGAGGAGGGCAGTGGGAGGATAAAGAAGGAGAAAAATCACAAATCCTGACTCCAAGAGTCAGAATACCTGCAGAATGAACGAAATGAATGTTGAAATGTTCTCATCCTAAATGCAAGACAGTAAGAGCCCAGAGGGATAAAGGGATTTCTCACCCAATATCCCACAGCTAGTAGGGCAGGAGGAAGAACTAGAGCCCAGATCTCCCAGTGTGTGCTCTGAGGGGTGCCAGCTTTGCTCCCTCGGCAGTTGGGGTTGGAGTTCCTTAAGACCTGAGTCTGGTGTCTGAATCCTGCCAAGGAAATGGGTGTGCCCCGATGACTTATTTAGAAACAACCACCACTGGGTTTTGTACCCCAACTCCCTAGTCAGGTGCCCCTGATAAGAGGCCTGGTGAGAAAACCCCACCTCTAGTTGCTGCTCTGTCTCCTACTTGCTATGTGATAGGGTACAAGTACCTCCTCCTTTCTGGGCCCCAGAACCCTGTGCAAGGCATGCCCAGTGCCTGCACCAGGGAGTCAGGAATAGTTTTACTGTGTCCTCACAGCAATCCTCACCCCAAATGCCATGCCATAGACGCTCAACACATTTTGAATAACCAGTGTCCTGGCCACTATCTGGGAGGGCTTCCTAAGGAACAAGGTGTCTGTGGTTTCTGCAAGGGACCAAAGCAAAGTTATCAATCTGAATGAAGGCAGCTGGCACTGAGATTTCAACTTCACAGGATGGATATATATGAGACTGTTGGGAGAAGCAATTATTTTATCCAGAAACAGGACAGTGTGTTGCCTAGAGGATAGATAGGGTAGAAGGAAATCCCCTGGCCTTAACCTACAAGCATTATCCTCCAAGTTACAAGAAGGTTTAAGTCTTTGGGCACCAATGATCAGGGCTCCTGCTCTTTCCCCAAAAAAGCCACTGAAATTAGTAGCCGTGAGGATGAAGCTCTCTGGAGCACTGTGCTTTGGGGACAGCTGCCCAGCACCAGCAACAGAGACCCCAGGGTGCTCTGTCTCCCAAAGCTCTCTTCCCCAGAAGTCCCATTCAACCACTTCTTTCTGGACTTCCAACTAATACAGGTCAAGTCATGTAACCTTGTTTGTCCTACAAGGTACAAGGCTTGACTGCTCTCCAATATAGAATCATGCAGCCTCCCAGTCCAATCTGATCACCCTCCTCCCCATCCCCCTAAGTGGAAGTCTCCATTCTGGGTACTTCAATCTTGCACCTGCCTAGTGCCCCCTGAGGGAGTCACCACTCTATGTCACCAGGCAAGCATCACCTCCACTAGATGAGAGGTTCCAGAAGTTGTCCTCACCTCCCCAGGGGACCCCAACCTTCCTGGAGTTTGGTTGGAGCAACTGCTCACCTCCTAAGGCTGTCTTCACAAACTTATCATGGATTCAAGACCATCATCCATAGTAGAAGATGCCTGAGCTTGAATTTGGGCCCAGGTTGGAAATCTATCTCCACCACTGACTGGGGAAGATAGATTACCCTAACCTAGTTTCCTCCTCAGTAACGGCCAGCCATGGCTAGCCCAGGCCTGTGCTCTGGACTTCATGTGATTTTCTTATTTCACTACCCTTTTGCCTGGTAGGAGTTGGCACTTTATCATTATTTCAATTTCACAGAAGATGAAGGAGTGGCCCAGGGAGGTTACTCGGCCAAAATCAACTGGCCATGGGATGCTGGAGACTCAAACCCATTTATTCCCCAGAAGGACCCAAGAACCTTGAAAGTGGGGGGGCAGCAGGACTATGTCTTGGCCCCTGCCATGCTCCCTCCTTCAGGTCTCGGCCCAGCTCTACCTTCCTTGGGTGCATTAGTATCCCAGACGCTCCACATCTGCACGAAGAAGAATGGTGTCCAGCATACGATGAAGGCCAGCACGATGATGAAGGTCATCTTGACCGTGCGGATCTTGGCTTTGGAGATGAGCTTGACACTGCTGACTCGTGCCAGGGCCGCGCGACCCTCACTACCCGCTGCTGAACCCTCAGGTCCCTGAGCCTGAGCCGCAGCTGCTGCAGCCGTCTTGAGCCTCAAGTTCTGCCAGATCTTGAAGCTGATGAGGCCGTAGCAAGCAGCGAGTACGATGACTGGCACGATGTAGACAGCGAGTGTGATCCACGTGACGTAGGCCTTGGGTCCCCAGGGCTGGATGAAGACCGCCCAGCAATCAAAGACGCCTTCAGCCACCTCGCGCAGCGAGAAGATGTGCACCTGCGGCGCGCTGGCCACTAGGCAGCCAAGCCAAGTGGCGAGCACCGCCAGGCGGTCGGTACGCCGGCGCAGCGACCGCAGCGGCTGACAGATGGCCAGGCAGCGGTCAAGCGACATGAGCAGCAGCAGGTAGGTGGAGGCGAACATCCCCACCACCTGCAGGTACTTGACTAGACGGCACAACAGGTCGGGCCCATAGAAACGGAAGGTGATATCCCACAGTAGCTGCGGCAGCACCTGGAACACAGCTACCACCAAGTCAGCGATACTCAGGTGTTTCATGAAGAAAAAGAGGCGTGAGTGCTTGTGGCGCGTGGTGCGCAGTGCCAGCAGCACGCACGCGTTGCCGCTCAATGCCAGGAAGAGAATGAGGCACAGCACTGCCACCTCCACGCGTGCCAGTGCCTCGTTGCGCCGCGGCGGTCCGGCAGTGCAGTTGCCTTCGGCCCCAGGAGGCGCGGCGCTCCCGTTGACCGCCTCGGCGCTCCAGTTGGCTGAGAATGCGCCCTCCATGACCGTGGCCCTAGGTACGCCGGCCTTGAGCCCTTTAAGGCGTAGCGCTAAGGGGCGGGGCCAAAGCGCAATTCAAGAGCGCTGAGCGAAGCGCCTAGGGCTCCGCTCCTGGAGTCCGGCAGGGACTGTTCTGCTGGAATCCAACCCTGCAACAAACCAGCAGGACGGTGAGAGGACTGTCGCGTTAATTGTTCCCTTCCTGGGGATTCAAAATCACCTGAGACTCGGGGCACAACTGCCCGCCACAGGGTTGCCCAGCCGCCACCCCAGAAATCCCCGTTGATGTACCTTCTTTCAGCCACTGCAAATGAGCGGGAATCCTCTACCCGAGTGCCAGTTTCTTGAGAGGTTCAGCCTTTTCCACTGGTGGAGAGAGGAGGACTATAATCAATCATTTTCCTTGCTCCCTCCGGGACTGGGATATCCAATCCAGTCACCTCCCCCAGCGGTCTTCCCAAACACACTACACACCCAGGACCCTCAGCACAGCCACCTCCTGCGGGATCCCCAAATCAGCCCCTCTCCTATTAACCCGTAATCCATGTACTTCTCCCAGAGATCCCAAACAGCCACTTGCCTGGAAAGCCTCACTCAGGTCTATCCCCCTCCGATCTCCTGTTTCTAAAACGCTCAGCCATCACTGCCTGAACTTCAATAACGGCTGCCTGCCTAGAACTCTGGTCCAGCAGTCCCTCCCAGGGGGATTCCTGCTTAAAAATCTATCTCCTAGGATGCCCAATCGGTGTCAGTCAGACCTTTGACCTAGACACTTTCTGCGGACACCTAGACACTTTCCTCTTCAGCCCAGTAGCCTCGAAAGTTCAGGAGTCCAACAAGCGTCTTGGTCCCCTGACAATCAAGGGCTTCACGTCTTGGTCCCAAGCTGTCACTTTATACCCTCCTGCAGCACCCTGTGCGCCTCCAGGAACCAGAAGCGCGAAGCACCCCATTACCTCTTCTCAAACCCAGATGTCCACACTAGCCCTCGCCATCCCGTCCACCCGTGCTCAGGACCCAGCTACCTGCACTGAGTCCTCGGGTTGACCTAAAGTTGACTCCCCGGGGAAGTTGCACCGCTGCTGATGGACTCAAAGACGCGTGAGCTCCGGGACCAGGTTGGGAGGGCAGCTGAAGGCACCCAGTTTGTCACTCGCTGAGGTCTGGGATTCAGGAGCCTTGGTTGGAATACTCTCGCCCGCAGCTTTGCTGGTGGTTGGATAGAAACAGAAGGCAATCGAAGAGCGCCGCCAAGCCTATGCTCGAGGACAGCGTGGGGATGCCGCGCTGGGTGCGGGTGGCTGGCTTTTCTTCGGCTGGGGTCCGGGATGCGCTGCCACATGAATCCGCTAGGGGGCGGGGGAGGCCGGCTGCGCAGACCCCAGATGATGGGGTTAGCTTGCTCCGTTAGCTCGCGGGCTGTTGGTCCCAAGAGTGGTAAGGAACCGGTTTATTTTGCAGTAGTTTAAAACCTCTAGAGGGCTGGAACTCGTAAATAACCCGCCCGGTTTCTTCCTTTCTTGGCTTAGAAGCTCCTGATCCTTTCACTGAAATAGGAGGCTTGCATATGTTTTCCCCTGAGGAGACAATGATGAAGTTACAAAAGCATTTAACTGATATTTCTTGAATTGAGATTCATTTCAGTGCTTTCTTATTCTTCTTTTTTCCCCAGGTAACTCATGTCCTTGCTTTGGAATACTTTTGTTCATATTCTCATTAAAAAGGAATTAGAAAAACCTTCTATTCCAAGCATCACCAGAAGAGATCTTCATTCTTTAGATAGTTTTAGGTGGAAATCTTAAAAAAAAAAAAAAAAAAAAAAAAAAAAAAAAAAAAAGAACTATCTTTGTTAAAAGTGATTCTGCTCATCTGTGGACCAAAAGCAATTTCCTTCTCCTTACCATGAATGAATATCCTAAATGATGGTAAAAGAAGATGAAATATTAAAGACTGCTTTTCTGCCTCCTTGTGCCTTTTCTATTCCAAAACCATTTTGTGGAGTAATTTACAGTGACTGGAATTAAGGCAGGAGGGGGAAAAGCCAGAATCCAGAAATGAACAAGGCTCTTTGAAGTGAATTAAATGCATATTTCCTCTTGACATTTCATTTCTCCCTCTTTTAATTATGTGGAAAGAATTGGGTTAGCCAAGGACTGGGTTTCCTGAATCCACAATTATAGTCCTGTGCCAAGATATCCTAATGGCAGAGCCTTACAGGGCCATGATTCCAGGATAGGATTTGTAGGTTCTAGCAACATTGCCGAACAGTGGGCAGCAACAGTTACTTTTTTTTTTTTTTTTTTGCCTTTGGGAATTGTGTCACAAATTATCAATAATATCTGTCATGCAAACCACAGGTTAAAGTTACAGGTTATTCAGGTGAGAATTAAATGACTTAAGTAAGTCCCTTCTCCCTGGGTCTTGGTTTCCCCATATGTGAAATGAGAGGGTTAGTCCTGATAACTAATGTCTGAGGTCCCATCTTTCTGATTTTCTAAATTTTTATGGCTTAGGCCATCTGAGAGTTTATCTGAAATACCCTTGCCTCATTCTGTGGGTGGATAAGAGGGATTCTCTCTAAGAACCATTGATTGGTAGCGTAGGAAGAAAAAAACAGGCTTGTAGAGCCCAGCTTGCCCTTATTTCTCCTGAAAGAGAACAGCCTTCAAGGAGCAAATTAACTGAGCCACTTCTCGGCTCTTCTACCCTGTGACTGGTCTTGAGTGGTCTTTGTATGACCAGTGAGACCATCTAATTTGGATTAATTCAGAAGGACCATATGGCCTTGTGCAACAGCCAGGTTCTCTAATTTAGCTTTTATCCATTAAAAAAAGTGATAGTGAGCTCCTTAGTTCCTCTTTTATTTATCATTGTGAGCAAAATCCAGGTAGCTAAGATAGGTAGCTATGTACTGGGGAACTCCTTTGAGAGCCCCCAACAATAAACAAAACATGTCCCCAAACCCTTGAGCTCTAGCCACAGAGAAAAGCACTTACCTTTGGTGTGACAATGATAAATACTAATATTAAGAGAGGATGAAGTGCTGGAGAGTACTTGGAGGACAGTTTCTCAAAGAAGGCAGCTGTATTTTAAGGTGTCAGAACAAGTCCTCCAGGAAACGCAGAAGAAAGGCAGAAACTGTGTAGTAGTCAGCTTTTTATCACTATGACCAAAATATCTGAAGTAAACAATTTAGAGGAGGAAGGATTTATTTTGGCTTATTGTATCAGTGGTTTCAGTCAATGGTTGGCTGGCTACATTGCTTTGGGCTTGAGATGAGGCTGAAGAACATCAGGTCAGAAGGATGTGGTGAAGGAAAGCTGCTCAGCTCATTAGAGAAGGGAGCAGAGAAAGAGGAAAAGGGAGCCAAGGACAAGACACAATCCCCAAGAGCATGCCCCAAGGACCCACTCCTTCAACTAGGTCCTGCCTCCACAACCTCCCAGTAATCCATTCAGCTACAAATGGATTAATCCACGATCAGGTCAGAACTCTCATGATTCCAGTCCTTCCCCAAAGCCCCACCTCTAAACATTGTTGCACTGGGGATCAAGTTTTTGACACATGAGTCTTTAGGGGACAGCTCATATCTAAACCATAAAATAGAGGTACAGGATATAGGTGTCATTTAGGGGGTAGGGACAAACAATTCCACATGGCTGGGATGAATAGTTCAGTGCCTATCATCAGCATTTAATAAATACTTAATCATTGCACAAGGGCCTCTGAGGCCATGTCAAAGAAGAATTAATTTTTTTCAGTAACTGGATGTCTCCCAAACGTGGGAAAGAATACATTCCCAGATGGTACCCAAGATGCAAATTTAGTATCTAGTGACATAATAAAGTGAAAAAAAATTAGTTCTTTCTCAGTCTATTTCACTCCTTTGGGTTTCATCAATGAGAAAGTCTGAGAACAATCATGAAGATGATGGAGCAGGGACAGCTGAGATTTGGGAGACAGGGGTGGGGAAGGTAGGTACATGGAAGAACTATAAGCAGAACAATATCTGCAGATCTGTGCTTTAGTAAGAGAACCCTGGAAGCCACTAGGAAGCTGGGGAAGGAGATACTAGCACAGAGACCCTTGAAGGTCCAGGCAAGAGATGCTGTACGTATGGACCAGGGTGTGACATTGGAGGACTTAGAGTATTCCAAAGAAAAAGAATCACTAGGATGTGTATATATAGAGAAAGAGATTTAAATAATGAGTTGGCTGGTGTGTTATGCAGGCTAGAATGCCCATAATTTGCAAGGTGGACTGACAGCTCCTCTCTGGGAACCAATGTTGCAATTCAAGTCAGAAGGCCATCCAGGGCAGTGTTCCTTCTTGCCCAAGGAGGGTCATTCTTGTTCTGTTCAGGCATTAACTGATTGGATGAGACCCACCCTCATTATGACTGGCAATTTGCTCTCCTCAAAGTCCACTAAATGACATGTTAATCTCATCCAAAAACACACTCACAGAAATATTCAGAATAATGTTTGGCCACAAACTGTAGCCCAGTCAAGTTGACCATGAACCATCACAGAGGGAGTCTCAGCAATCAGTATTTTTACACATTGTCCCATCTGTCTGAGTAGCAAACAGCCTGAAGGTAGAGTTGGTATTCTATAAACCTGTACTTTCAAAGGTCTAGGACACTGTAGAGTAGGTATCTTTCAGGTATTTATTAAATGTAAAAGGATGGAAGGTAGGAAAGAAAAGAGGGAGAGATAAATATTCCTCCTTGTGGTTCTGAGCAGGACTGGGCCCCTGGGGAAGATATCAGGCCCTGGAAATGACCTGTCCATTACCCACTCCTACCTCTGGGAAGTGGATTCTGAGTTTTAGCACCATTTGAATTTTCCAGTTTGGGTACAGTTATTTAGACACAGATCCAAGTCCAGGTGGCCTTGCTCTGCAATCAGGGTAGGAAATTAATCATAAACACCTCCAGTGTCCTGGAGTCTCAGCTTGAACCCCCAACTTGGGGTCCATAACATGCTCTGGCATCAAGACTAAGAACGCACTGCAGCAATGATCTTGCCACTGACAAACTCACCTGCTTACATTTGCTGTTTCCATCCAGAGGCAGGAACATGAGGTCACATGGACTGACCTGGGACATGCACGTGGCATTGTGTCTGCATGCCTGCTTACACTTAACAACTCTCAGATTCTTCTTGGAGGCTGCATCATTTTGGGATCCTTCTCAGGCTGTGTCTTCATTCTTGTGCTCCTTGGAGGGTGGAGAAAGAGAGGAGAACATGCTTTCAAATTGGAAACAGCTCTGGACTTTTGCAGCAGAGAATCTGGGTTCTATGACCTCTGCCTGTGCAGCAGAGTGACTAAACCTCTCTGAGACTCAGTTTCCCTGCATTGCTGACCTCAACAGGTCATAGGAACACTGCATAGGGTTTTGTGAGTAAATGAAACTTATTGCCCATAAGGAGCACTGTGCAAACAGCTAGGTCAGTACAGTTGAATCTTTTTTCTCATGATGATGATACACACCCCAGAAAGATCACATGAAAATGCAATCAACCTCTAGATCATTCATCTTCCTGGATCAAGGTCATGCGTCTTTCCGAGTCAGTTAGACAAAATTGTGTGTGTGTGTGTGTGTGTGTGTGTTATGATAGTGCCTGATAAAAAGAGATACTCCTTTAATTCTAATTGATGCCCTGAGGACACTGAATCTTCATGTCCTTAGTGAAGCCCCTCCTGACCATCCAGGTCTATTGAGAACATGCCAATTTTTGATCCTCTGTAGGTGGCCATAGATTCCACTTGTGACATGAATATACTCAGTATCCTCAGTTCAGTTCTAAGTGCATAAATTTATTCCATGTGGGTCCTTTATATATTTATCCATCTTTTTTTCTTATCAGACATGCCCATCAATAAAAATGTGTTAAGAAAATGATGGATGGATGACCCAAGAACATGCTTTAGTTGATCAATCACTGGGGTCAGACCCCTGCTTTTTCCTGGAACATTTTTTATGGAAGTGAAACTGAAGGAGGGCTCTTTATGAGAAAGTATGTTATTTGTGTATTGTGTCATTCTCCCTGAGAAAAAGAGATGATAGAGATAAAGCATGAGGCTTCAAATTCCACAAACATGTTGTCAATTGACAATGTATGTGATGACACAACCCCTGTTGGTGAACTGGCTAAAACAAATGCATTCTCTGCATAGGAACACTGTCGGCTGAGGTTAAGGCATTAACATGACACAACCACAGAGAAATAGCTTCCTTCAGGATTAACAGAATTTGGAATAAAGGCAGACTAATCTTTTTTGAAGAAAAGGTTTATCGAGAATCAGAGTCTTTGGAATTTGTCATTTCTTTTGGACAGGGAGGGTCTGGAAGGACCGAGAGTAAGTTCAAATGGATGCTATCCTTATA